ATTTTATTTTATTTTATTTTATTTTATTTTATTTTATTTTATTTTATTTTGTTATATTTTAATTAACTTATTTTATATTGCTTAATTTAATGTTATTCTTTTATGTTTTTTTGGTTTAATTTTTTGTTATATTCTATTTCATTTTGCTTACCCTAGCGATACCAAAAATTACACAGGTCTACAGAGACAGAAAAAAAAATTGGTGCGGCATATGTTAAAGCTATTTTTTTGTGCTGATTACAAATCTCGACTACCACCCCTGAAAATACCATTCCCTCACCTTGTTCTGCTAGTCACTTGTACGCCATTTATTGAACAGCAAAAACTGATTTTGGCGAAGTTTGAGTAGCTACCGCAATTGAACAGAGGGTGATAGAATCTTCCGCTGAGGCTTAGATTAAGGCTTGAACTTTCGACTACGATCCCGAAAAATACCATCCCTGCACCTTGACCCTAAGGTCATTTATAGTTATTTACTGTACCACCGGGTCGCCTGCAAATTTGTATATATTACTGAATTCTCCGAAAAAGTTACTAAATTTTTTGTGAACTTTGAAAATAAAATTTCCCGCCAGATTTAAGCGGTGATTGTACATGTTGACATGTATCATGCATCCGTTTATTGTATAACTTCTTTTGAGCAGGTAGCCATAATATTAAAGAATATTTTCGCATGTAAGATGGGCAGCTGAAGTTTTGGTAGCATCAGAGAAAATCAGATGAGGCTTTAAAAAAATTAAAATAAATGATTTTCTTGTACCAAAGTGAAAATTGTTTGTGTTTCTGTACAAGTGTGATTTCTTAAAGCGGCAATATAAAATAATACAATAAGACATGTATTTAGATTAGTCTTTGAGCTCATTCACATTTCTACAAAATATGTATCTATGTATGTAATTAAAAATTATAAACACCAAATGCGCTTCTTATTCCACGATCCTCCACCTAAACTTAGATGCGCTGCTAAATAGGAGAATTTCTAACGAGGTGGAAACCCTGCCAGCCACTGATCATGCCTATTAAATAAATGTCAATTCTAAATATACATACATGCATAAGCATTAAGCTCAGAACATTGGACTGAAGTGCACAAAGCAAAATGGTGCGGCAATCAATTCGGTAAGAAGAGTTTTTAATATTTCATATTATTAGTGAATTTCGTGGAGTCAAATTGTAAGTTTTTCTTAAGCTTAATTTAAGGGGACAAAAGCTTTTAAAGCTCTTATGATATACTTCAATGTGCATAGCTCATTTCATTTTGTCGGCTCTTTACAATGAATTTCACAATGTTTTAGCTTATTTCAGCTTATCATGAACTTGGCACGCTTTTAGCTTTAACTTTAACTTAACTTCTTCATGCAAGTAGCCCGTGCTTTTTGCTAAATTTCATAGAACATTTCTTCAAGTTGTTTGAGCTCGCATTCTGTTAATTTAATTTATTAATTTTATTTTATTTATTGTAAACCTCTCCAGCAGGCGGCTAGTTTTAGTGTAGGCATTACAACTCAGTTAGTCTAGACTTAATTTCGGTAACTTAACTTAACTTAATATTTTGGCCAACCTGTTATATGAGAAACTGTGTTGGCGGTTAGTTAAAACCTAACTTACCGTAAGAAACTTAAGAACCTGTAGATTTTAGGTTCTTAAGTTACGGCCTTACGGAAATAGAGAGCGGTGAGATATTCAGGCTTGCCAGACTCTCGTTTTTGTATTTCTTAAAAATAAATGAAAGCAAACGTTTTTGTTTTCATGATTTTTTTTATAAGGCATTTTAGGCGGCGAACTGTTATACATCTGAAAGAGAAAATACAAAAACAAAATATTTCCGCTCTTGGCTTAAGTTGACGTGTTGAGTAATCATTGACGATGTCTTACGGTAAGTTAATTTAAGTTAAGTCTAGACTAACTGAGCTTTTATAGACAGTGGCGCACAAATCAAAGAGATCAAATTAATCTAAACGATTTTGAATTCTTATTATAACAATGTTTATTTTATTTATGATGCCTAAAGCCTTCCTTATTGTGAAATGACGAACCCCAAACTAAACTAAAAATGTCGTCTGGCAGAGCTTTACTTTCCCTAGCGGGAAATGCATAACGATTTGCTGCAAATTGATAATTCTTTTATTCAACGCTAGTTGTGGAAATAGCGCGCGCAAATAACAGCAAGCGCAAGCTTTTTAATTAAGCTTTTGCAAGTTCGCTTTAATGCCGCTATTAAATAGATGTTAAATAGCTTTCTGTGTATTGCATGTGATGTTGTGATGTGATGTGATCATCAGTGCATGCGATCGCGCGATCACTGCCATTGCGCCCAGCACAAACAACAAACACACACACATTTTTTAAAATGCATACTTGTGTACATATTTACAACGTACGCGCAAAAAGCGCCACAAAGCAGAGCAGCAGCCCAAAGAATAAGGTCTCGCTTCAAATAGAATCGCTTCAGTTGGTATTCAGAGCTGTTTGAGAATTGTTGTGCAGATCGGTGAACGTGCGCGCAAATTAAAAAGCGGCGTATAACAAGTTTATTCACAAATACAGAACAGGGAAAATGCCAAGCAAAAATAAAATCTAAATGAATGCAAAAAAAAAAATAAAAATAAATAAATACGATATACATAAAAGCAGGCTGAAAGCGATGAGCACATGTATATATGTATGAATATGCACGTATGTATGAATAGGTACATATATAAAGTACATACAGCTTACATGTATGCATAAAACGATGGTAAAAGGCGGTGAATGAAACAAAGTGTTCATTTAAAAGGCAGGGCGAGTTTAAGAGGCATTTAAAAAAAAAAAAACTAAAAAATAAAAGAAAAGAAAGCGAACTTCCAGATGCGGCAATCGGGTTTAAAAAGTGCTGCGAAAATTCTACGCCTTCTTTGAATTAAATAAAGTTCGCTCGCACTTGTTTATACCGGTATTTCGATATGAATGAGCGGATGAGAAGTGGCAAATAAATTAAGGAAAAATCGAATGCAATTAAGGAATGCAGATATTTCAACTGAACGATACATACTTAACGATTAATACGCACTGCGGCATAAAGTGGAACGACGCACAGCTGAGCAGACGTGTATAAGCGGAAAGTGTTGGGTAAAAATTAAAAACATTAACTTTTAGAAAGCTTATAGTCTGCGAAGAAAAAGTTACTTAAACTTTCGAGAAAAGCGTGAACACAGCGATCACTATTTTCACGTGCGCTTTGCATACATTACAGTGTTTGCGCAAGCTGTAAAGAGTGCTTACATGCCAAAGGTCACGTGCTCTCAAACAATTAATGCCACAGTCGTCGCCGCATCACGCGACACCCACCCGCGGCGAATCCGTGAATGACAGTCTAGCGAATTACTAATAGCGTGACATACATACATGGGTAGCCTTTTACTTTCGCTTTCAAGCAAATACAACAAATAAGGAGCATCGGCGTTGGTGATTTTCCAACTACATACGCTACAACACTCTATTCACAAGACTGCCAGGGCCAGCGGGCAAAAGCGAAAATTTTGCAACGAGATAAGTAACAGAAGTGGCCAGAAAAAAGGGACTGTAGGTACGAAAAGCAGGCGAAAACAGAGTGCAAACGGCCTAAACACACAACAACCATAACAATAGTAAAAATAAGAGTCATAGCAACGACAATAGCAATAAAAACCACAACAGCTACGAAGAGGGCAACCGACTACTGTAGTGTGATGGTGAAACCGTTGTTGGTTTACTTTTATCAATACGTTTTCGATTGGCTGGACTATTGGCGATTTCAGTGCAGTGGCAGCGGCAGCGGAAATTGCAGTCGGAATAGCAATAGCAGTTACAGCAACAAAAACAACAACAACCACTGCTACGAATTGTGGCGATTTAGTGCAAAGCGAACGATTGCAACAAGACTCCTACGCCCCGTCCTCCTCCTCCTCCTCCTCCTCCTCCTCCTCCTCCTCCGCACACCGTAGTAGTTGCGGCGAAGTATAGTGGCGGCGGGACGACCGATTTCGTGCGAACACAACATTGCACAAATTGCAAAATTGCAAAACAAATAACAAGCCAGAGCAGCAATCATAATAATTAAGAAAATACAAATAAAATAAGAGCAGAGCAACGAGTAGGAGACTTCTTCAAGTACATACGCGAAGAGTTCGAATGCAGGAGGAAAAACAGCATAAATGAAATGAAAATATTTGCAAGCAAACGCGCGCAGCAGTAAATAAATATAAATTTAGAAGAGAAAAATTCGTGCAAAACGAAGGCACATAGTGGCAAAAATAGACACATTCCTGATAAGCAAAAAACGCATAGAGAAGCATACATAGGCGCATAAAGCATAAATATACATAAGTAGAGCAAACGAGCGTCGTAAACAAAAACGAAAACGAATTGCAGCAGCAAAAGTGTCAAAAGAGAGCACGAAGCGGCAAGCAAAGCGTTGAAATCGCAAAACAAAAAAAAGGCGAAAAAATTGCATTTAATTTGCATGTTGCAGGCATCAAATAGCAGCAGCAACAATTGCAAATCACACAGCGAGGAAAGATCATCGTTTGCACTCGTTTTTGTGTGTGTGTTTTTTTTTCTAGCGCGCACACACAAACGCCGAGGGACATTAACCTGCCAGCGTTGAGAGGGTGAAAATACGCGCTAAAATAAAAAAAATTAAAAAATTAAAATAAAAACACTTCAGTAATTTCGCGCACGGCGAAAACTGCGTATTTCTAGAACGCTGCAGACGAAAATTTTCGAAAAACTTTTTTTTTTTTTTGGTTTCCGTTTTGCAAATATTCAGTGCATGATCTTAAAAATCTACAACGGCGCACGCACTGACCTACCGCACAGCACATAGCGCGATAATGTTAAGTTAATAAACAAACAACAACAACTATGCGCTAAGAATAGTGCAATTTTTCGTAGAGTGAAAAAATAAAATCACCAAGCTGAGAGTAGTGTGTCTTCTGTTAACTCTATTAATTGAAATCAAAACTAGCGCTAACATTAACCTCAACAAGAACATCGTCTGATTATTGCAACTAAAAACAAAAAAATAAAAAATCGCGAAAAAATATCGTATTTGTATGAACGGAAATTGCTAAGAGAATTTGGAAAATTTGCTCGTTTCGAAGAGAAAAATTAACCTGCTGCATTTTGCGAGATTTCTTTTATTTTGCTCAACATAAATCAGAAAGCAGTACTTCCAAAGGACGTTAATAAGTAAGTGATACAAGCACACTTTCTTACTGCATATACTAATTATATATTGAAATTTATGTATATTGTAAAACAAATATAAATTACTACAGGGGAGTACAGTATATTTTGCTTTGCTGCTTTAGCGGCATTATTTTTAACATTTATAAGGAAACTCCTCCGATAGATGCATTCAACATACCTGCGCATTGGCGATACCAGCCTTAAAAATTGTGCAACTATTATTAACTATCAAAGAAAGTATTAGGTTTACCTGCACTGGCCCTACAATTACCTAATTTTACAAGCTTTTATTTATTTTGCTCATCTCGCAGAACAACGAAAATGTCTATCAATTAATGTAGTTATATAGATAATTAGATACCATTCGGTAAAAATTTCGCTTGCGGTAATTTCTACGTGGTAAGTGCTCCTCCATTAATTGGTTTCATAGGTATTCGGATACCTTCCTCATTGAAGTAGTAAAGAAAATCGCTTAAGTGCTTTTTTCGGTTAAGTGCACAAGTTTTTCGTGCAAAGAAGGATGGGCAGCTAAGCAAAATATACTGTATATCTGTTCTTAAAATAAATATTATCCCTATCTATCTTAAAATATTATAGACAGACGGTAACGATAATTCAGATTAACGGCGCTGTTGATCTGATCAAACTTGTACCCTAACAGACGACGCACAGTGGTTCAAAACTAGCATTTACAGTTCATAATTCACTGTAGCATTCATTTTTAACTCAATTTGATACATCTTTTAAATAAAAACATATAAACTTTGCAAGATACCCTTCCTTGTCTTAATTTTTTTAGTGGCAATTTTGAAAAAAAAAATTGACTATCCTGTTCCATTTAATGAATATTACATAATAAAAACTGTTTAAAGACAATCGTAAGCTTGCCGTAAAACGAAAAAAAAATATTTAAAAAAAATTAGCATGTTATAAAAATTAAATCACCAAAATACATTTTTTTTTTAGTTCGAAGAAAAATTTTGGGTATGCAGTTTTATAGACCGTTAAATTTTATAAAGAGCAAGTTTGAAGTGGCAAAGAGTTCGCGTTGAGTTTTAGAAATATATATAATAAAAATATAAACTACACAACAGGCAGAAGCGCTCGAAAAGTTATTAAAAATCAACGTGAACTCTTAGCCACATGCTTACACTTTATTGTACTAAAATTTAACGATCTATAAAACCGCATACCCAACATTTTTCTAAAAACTAAAAAAAAAGTTAAATTTTCGGTAAATTTTTTTTATAACATTTAAAATTTTTCTTGCGAATTTTTTTGGGGAAGCCTTATAATCGTTTTAAATTAGTTTTTGTTATGCAACATTTATTAACTGGAACAGGAGAATCAATTTCCCTCAAAATTACTATCTTTTTCGCACTTTGTACTAAACAATTTTTATAAACATCTAAAAATTAAAAAATCGGGCTCAACTTGTCTCTTGCTAATTTTATAAGCTTTCATTAAAAAAAATATATATTTCAAATTGGTTGGCTCTAGTGAATTATGACCATTAAAGTCCAGTTTTGAACCAATATGCGAGGGTACTGCTGGTTAAGCGTAGGTGCCACGGCCAGCAACATTTTTTTAGATCCCCACAACATATTTGTTTGTTGTTTAGATGCCCCTTCCCCTTGCATTTTCGGGGGTTTTGGCGAACCTATAACATATAGTTATATAAATAATTGGGTATTGATATTGGGAATTCCCTGCAGAGAAAAGAGTTTTCTGAATGAAAAATATTGATTTTCAATAATTCTATATTGCTTTTTCGAAAAGTTGTTTTTTCCCCACATAAAATACATGGAAAACTTTCAGCGATCTGTAAATATTTTTTGATTTTAAAATAAAAAATGTATATTTTTTCTGTATAGAACAATCCTAGGGGGTGAGAGCATTAAAATTCCGACTTAACTTTTTTGGACCACCCTACTGTGAATAAATACGTTTTAATTTCATTTACTTTTTAGAAGCTTTAATTTTTTGTTTTATAATTTTCTTCCTTTTTTTAATCAGTTTTTTTTTAAATTTATTTTTGTTTTACTTTTGAGACTTTTTTGCTTTAACAATTTTTTATTAATTCATTTAATTTTTAAGAACAAATTTCATTTTTCCCTATTTTCATACCCGAGCGCACTTGTGCACAAGGGTATTATAACTTTGTTCAAATAACGGTTGTTTGTAACAGCCAAAACGAATCGAGATAGGTATAGACAAATGTATACATAAATGTGACTGTCTGTCCGTCCGTCCGTCTGTGTACACGATAACTCGAGTAAAAATTGAGATTTCTTAACGAAACTTGGTAACGTACTTCTTTTTCTTTTCATCGTAGGACGGATTGTATTGAAAATAGGCAAAGTCGGACAATAACCACGCCTCCGTCCCACATAGCGGTAGTTTTCAGAAATACGAAAACTGCGATATTTTAGTATTTACTGAAGATTATTCACTCAAAACTGATGTTTACAATCATTTTTAGACGAAAAATAAGATTATTATAAATTTTTGGAAAAGGTGCGTAGATCCGGCCGTGTTCCGAACTTAGACTTACTTGTTTTAATTTAATTTTCTTTTACTTTTTAGATCATTCATGTTATTTTAAATAGAAAAATATTTTTTGTTTACTTTCATTTTTAGGAATTCATTTCATTTTTTACCTTTTTTTAATAATTCTATTTTTTTTGTTTTTTTTTTGTATTAGTTTTTAATATTTTCAAAATAAGACTATATACATTTTTATTTCATTTAATTTCTAGGCAACTTATTCCTAAAGGACGATTGGAGTAACGCTAAGACCTTCTCGTTAGCAGATTTTTCAATTATTTAGTTTTTCGAAAGACGTAAAATATATTTCAAAATAGTTGCAAGAATTGTCTTTCGTAAGACAGTGGTGAGTTGAGAGAGAGAGACAGTTGCCAGAATTGCTCCATAAAAGTACTAGAATGTTTTTTTTTTACATGCGCTAGCTTATACATATAAGTATTTTTTTAGGTGTTTTGTGTTTCCAAGCGTTTAGATGTTTGCTAGCACTTTGAACATACATACATACATACATACATATATAGAATAAAACATACAAAAAAACAAAACATAGCTAAATAAACTGTGTATTTTTGGATTCATTTATTTATTTTTCTTTGTTTTTTTTTATTGTTTTCCATGCTTATCGGAAAACATGTTAAACTGAACTTCGGACTTTTTCAACACCAAATATTTGTTTTTATTATTATTTAGCTATGTAGCATAAAACTAACCTTGAGAAAATTATACAATAATTTAGGATATGATACTGAATACTTTTGGGTCCATTTTTCATAGCGAAATATTTCGCATATTTATCAGCGGCGAGCTATTTTTCAACTACTTTTTTTATCTCTCTTCAAAGTAGAATTTATAAGCTGAAGTTCATGCAAGCACATTGCCATATACCTACGAGTGAGAAATGGCTTCGATTTTCCGACAAGTTAACTAAATTCGAACTTAATTTTGCAGCGAGCGATTATACTCAACACTAAAAACGATTAGGTGTGATTAATTCATTCAATAACAATTTCAATGTAAACTTGAGAAAAACTTATATAGAAAACATTGAAATCTAATGTGTAAATGCATACAGATGTGTACATAGTATGTATGAATGTACGTTGGTTTCCGACCTCACTTTTCTATGAAATCTGAGTAAGTTGCACATTCTACGAAAATTATTTAGTAAAAATCGGCTTGCATTTACAAACATTTACGAAAGCACTTATGCATAAATATTTGGCATTTAAATACAAAGGTATATACATACATATTTCTGCTAAACATTAAAATCTCTGAAATAATTTCCGAGTAACTTTGGCGCTTGTGGGATCAACGAGGCCTTTTAAAAACAAGGCGGCTAAAAATTTATTTGTTAATACTTATGTACTTATATCCCGCTTCCGCTGAGGTGGGATGTTTTTAAACGCGATGACGTATATATATGCGTGCGTATGCGTCATTTTACTAATAAGTAATTTACTCGTATATACCTACATATATTATCTGTTTATATGACCTTTAGTAACGAGCTCTGTTTTAAAAGTCAGTGGCCTTTTAAAAAAATGTATATATTTTTCCCGGCATAAAAGCGTTTTATTTTTCAGCATAGTCAGCTAAAAACGCTGGAAACTTGGTTGCTTAGCTCACTTAGAATTTGTACTATCTAGTATTTTTGGAGTCTTTGACTTTATCTTTCAGCTTTGTGTAGCCAGACTGGCACCAATTAGCTCTTTCTGCGCTAATATTTCCTCCAGCGATGAGTGAACTGGCGGTAACAGTTCCAATTTCGAAGGGCCTTCATTTCACTGCAGTGCCTTCCAAGGGAGTTAAACTTCTAATTTGATAGATACGCGGTTATTAGCGTCTTGGCCTTGCTCATGGTGCGCTCAAAGTTTGCAAGGTGTTGCCGTACCTCTGCGATTGATTATTTCCGGATGAATCCAGGCCTGAAAAGCCACTCTCCAACCCGTTTCACGGATATAAGAGAGACAGGGAGCAGTTTTCACTACATGCAGATTACTCTTGGTCTTGTGTCAACTCAGCAAACGCTGGCCGAAATTAGAACATTTACGGCTGCGCGATCTTTCTGGTCGAAGGTGGACTAGGACAGTGTAGCAATCGGCATGAACTCACAAATTTGCAACCTGTCGCTAGGGATGCGAGCGATGCATCAATGTTTTTGAAACATCGATAATATTGGTCAAAAATTCGTTGTTTGCCATCGATGTATACAATTTTCTAATATCGTAAATTTTACGATACATCGATGTTACTTTCAATGATTTTTAAACATAGAATTTAGGGTGACCCAGACTTGCTTTTTACTCAACTTACCCGTTATTTTTCACAAATATTTTAAGCGACAAAACATTCTCATATTATTCATTCTTTGGTGTCATTTAAAAAGGAGCGACCCCTCTGCGACAAATATATTGCCATATATCTGGAAAGGGCTCTTAAGGCCGTGTCAC